CCTGCCACCGCCATTGCGCCCTCGCCCTCATCCCTCCGCCCCGAATCCAGGGAGAAAGGCAACGAAGGGAGATCAGAAGGAAGCGAGGGAGGGAGGGGGAGGAGGAGGGAGGGAAGAGGGGAGGGAGCAGGGAAGGGAAGGAGACTAGGAACGGAGTGGCCGCAAGTGAGAGGAGTGAGGTGGGGGCGCGGTGAAGGAGGATGCGTCAGTAGACCAGCTCTCCTCCTGAAATGATCCGAGCGCTCCCATGGCTGGTATGCGCCGCCCTCCTGCTCCTGTGCGGAGGGACAGAGGAGGATGCATACATGGCGAGCAGGGCAGAGACATGGCTGAACTTGGCTTCGGTGTTCGAGCAGCGAGGGAGGACGACGGACGCTCTGCGTGCTGCTCGGACATGCTTGCGGTTGCAGGCTGAGGACGCCAGGTGTCTGTCCATGCAGGGACGGATCCTCGCCGCACACCTGGGCTATGAGCATGTATCCCTTGGCTACTTCATGCGCGCCGCCAGCATCGCTCCCTCCCTGCCATCGCTCATGAACCTGGGGCTCGCCTACTCGCACGTCTACGACAACAGGAGGGCAGGAGAGGCGTACGCGGCAGCGCTGGAGCACGAGGAGAGCATTGCCGTCTGGTCTCAGTGTCTCTTCCGGCTGTGCGAGGTGAAGCAGATGATCTGCGAGGACTGGGGGGGTCAGGAGGAGAGGATGAGCATGCTGAGGAGGACAACGGAGGAGCTGATCAGCAAGGGGATGAAACCCATCTCCCCCTTCCTTGCCATGTCCCTTCCTCTCCCCCCCGAAGACATCCTGGCCATCACTCGCGCACATGCTCATCTTGCTGTGAAGGGAGCAGAGCACGAGCGGCAGTCCTCCAACCAGTCTCTTCCGTTCCCCGTGCTGCGAGCAGGTCCACTCGCAATCTCAAGGTGAGAGGAGGGGGGAAGGAAGGAAGGGTGGAGCAGGAGCAGGAGCAGGAGCAGGAGCAGGAGCAGGAGCAGGAGCAGGAGCAGGAGCAGGAGCAGGAGGAGCAGGAAGAGAAGGAGTAGGAGGAGCAGGAGCAGGAGCAGGAGCAGGAGCAGGAGCAGGAGCAGGAGCAGGAGCAGGAGCAGGAGCAGGAGGAAGGTGATCATGGCTGCTGCTGAGGCAGGAGGCTAAGAGTGGTCTACTTGAGCGCGACCTTCGATCCTAACAAGCTCATGAACGGCTTCCTGCGGTGCTTTCAAGTCTGCTGGCCGTGACCCTCCTGACTGGCAAAGCAGGGACGTGTGGTGGAGGCATCCTACCAGCCAGGTAGAGGTTCACTGTGTAGCCTGGGACATGCGGGAGGAGGGAGGAAGGCGATGGATCAGGGAGCAGGTAGAACACTTTCACTCAGCTGAGCACCAGTCGGATCTTGGTACGAGCAACCTGCATTGTCCTGTCCTGCGCTCCTCACAGGGTTGTCGTGTTGACTTGACAGGAGTCGCTCAGCTGGTTAACGCTCTCCATGCTCACCTGCTCGTTGAGCTGGTCGGGTGGTACCCCGAGCAGGTTCCTCTCAAAGTCCTACCGCCCCTCGTCCCTCCTCCTCCTTCCTCCTCCTTCTCCCTCCTCCTCCTTCTCCTTGCTCATCCTCACTCTCGACTCTCCTCCTCACGCTCCACTTTCTCCTTTCCCGTCTCCTTCCTCCTCCCAATCTTCTTCCTCCCTTTGTCTTCTTTCCTACTCAGCCCCTGTTCCTCTACCAGATTCTTCTCGCAATCCTGTCCTATCCTCTCCTCCCCTCTCGCTCTTTCCTTCTCTCAGCTTCTCCTTCTGACATCCTCGACCAGAGGAGCGGAATCGTAGCCCATCGACCATGCCGCGTGCAGTCACTGTATCGCTTCATCGGTAGGTGAGGAGGAGAGCGGCTGGTGGTGACTGCGAGGCAGGAGGAGGAGGAGGGAGAGGAGACAATCTGTACATCACAGACAGCACCTCCCTCCCTCCTGAGCTCGTCGGGCTCGTCGACGAGAAGATCCTCTACCTTCAACCCCTCTACCTTGCCTGCGGGTGCTCCTCCACTCTTCCCCTCTCTCCTCCTCTCCTCCTCTCCTCCTCTCCTCCTCTCCTCCTCTCCCCCCTCCTCTCCTCCTCTCTCTCTCCTGTTTCTCCTGTGCTCCTTCATTACTGTTTCACCATCAACTCTCCTCCTCTTCTTCTCCTTTCTCCCTTCCTTCTCCCTCTTCTTCCTACTCTCTCCGTCTCTCCGCCTCTTCCTCATTCACTGATCCCTCCGCTTTCAGACACGCTCGCACTTTCGCTCAGGCTGCTGGTGAGCGACTTCGTTCAGCTCACAAGTGACCATGCACCTCTAGCTCAGCAGCTCTCTCGACACAGAGAAGAATTTGTCTCCAAGTACAACCTGAGTAGTGAGTGGAGAGCAGGAGAAGGAGAAGGAGAAGGAGCAGGAGCAGGGTCACTGAACGTGGACGCGGGGGGGAGAGGAAGAGGAGATGAGGGCCGTGCTTGCTCATAGAAATATTTCATTGCAGAGGATGCGATCTTAATCGGCGCTCTCAACAAATACTACAAGATCTCCCCGGAGGTGCTCCTCCTCCTCCCTCGTCCTTCACTTCTCTATTCCTCCTCCTCGTCTCCTCAACTTCTTTCCTCCCCCTCCGTCCCTTTCTGCCCTGCTTCTTTTCATCCTCTCCTCTCATTCTCCTTTCTTCTCCTCTTCTCCTCCTGTGCTTCTCTAGTCTCCTCCGCTTTTGCTTGTTCACCTCCCCTCTCCTCTCTTTCCGTTCTCTCCCTCGCTCCCCTCCGTCCCCCTTGACTCTCCTCCTACAGCTCTGGAGCACATGGTGCAACATACTCCTCAGCCATCCCCGAGTTGTTCTCATCGTCATCCGATACAGGTTTACTTCCTTCCCGCCCCACCACCTACCCCTTCCTTCCTCCTGCATCTCCTCCCTCATGCTCCGTCTCATAAAAACGCGTCCTTCTTCCCTTCATTTCACTTCCTTTCTTGCCCTTCCTCTCTTTGATTCTCTCCCTCCCACGCTATCTTTTCCTTCCTACCTCCCTCTCCTCCCTCCCTCCCTCCCTCCCTCCCTCCCT